GATGTATGCTGTGTCTTCGAAACACACATACAGGATCCTAGTGTGGGCATCCACTTGACCTCACCTCGGCAAAACGGAGGGCCGACGAGATACACCTTCTGTTTATCTGGCGACCCGATGGCTAGTTCTCATGGACTGGCAGGTGTGGGCGTAGCACCAAGTACAAGGATAGAACAAGCACTATTAAGTGGGTCCCCTTTAACAGTCTTCTATGTGCTGTTCGGCTAAACAGCTCCGTAAGAACTCGGAAGAATAGGGATACCCGTCGTTGGCTTTTCGTTGTTTCTGCCTATACTTCCACTGACTGCAGCCCGGATGAAGTGAAAGATGACTTTTACAGAAAGCTTTCTGAACTTCTTCAGAAAGCTAAACGTTCAGACATAGTGCTCGTAGTGGGGGACTTTAATACCCAAGTAGGTAGCTTAAACTCAAGGGAAAGAAATTTTGGTGAGTATTTTAGTATCCCGGCTCAGCGAACAGTTAATGGTGATCGTCTGCTGTAACTGTGCCCAGATAATCATTTAATTTTTTCAAACACTAATATAAAGCATAAAGAGAGACGTCGTCTAACATGGTGACTAACAAACACGCGTGAAATACAAACATGAGAACATCAAACTGACTTCGGACCTGGTCGTTGCTGCATCGACTACATATTCACCATTCTTCAGGTTCTAAAACACAGGTATGCTTATTAGTGTTTTTCTTGGCTTAAAAGCAGCATTTGACTCGGTAGACCGCGAGATTTTGTGGCAGTGTCTGTCATTGGAAGGCGTGCCTCAGAAGTACATAAACCTTGTGAAGTCTCTTTACTCGAACACTACCAGTCGAGTCAGAGCTTATGGCGAACTGTCATTTACTTTTGCAACCTCAGGTGGTGTCGGTCATGGCTGCCCACTTTCTCCATTTTCGTTTAACTTCATCATAGACCTATTGATGGAAATTATATTCTCTTCTACTGAATTCTTGGGTATTGATCTCCTTCCATGAGGTCCACTTATCGAATTAGAATACGCAGATGATATAGTCCTGTTTGGTGAAAACGCTAATAAGACACAGTCATTTGGTAGCACTGAACAATCATGCCAGAATGTTTGGAATGAGCTTCTCTCCCTTTAAATGCAAGTTGTTGCTTCAGGACTGGTCTGCATTCATACCTGAACTAAGGATAGGGAGTGAAGTAGTCGGACGCGTTTGGCTTTTGCCAAATTACGTCACCTATGGCGAAGGCGAGATATCCGTCTATCAGTTAAGGGACGAGTATGTTGCACAGCAGTTCGTTCTCTTCTACTTAACGGCTGCCAATTGTGATCATTGAGTGTAGAAGATACTCGTAATTTACAAGCATTTGATCACACATGTTTTAGAAATATTGTTCGCAACTGCTGGGTCACCGGGTAAGTAATAGTGAAGTTAGACGCAGGATATTGGGGAATGATAGTAGATCAAGTGATGAGGTTGTGAGTCTTCATCGACTGAGATGATTGGGCCACATGTTGCATATGCCTGAACACCGATTACCACGACGAGCGCTGCTGACTAGTGTAGAGAATATTTGGAAGAAATTTAGGGGTGGTCAAACCAAAACGTGGCATCAGTGTTTGAAGTCACTAACTTGTAGTCTGAGTCGTGTTAGTAGATGCAGACTACTTGGTTGGGGTAACCAATGGCTGGAGACTCTGGGTGACATTGCTCAGAATCTATCACAATGGCGTCGGTGTATACAATCTCTGTCTTCTCTTAGACCGTAAGATTAAAATCACTCTGTATCTTTATTTCTACGAAGTAATTCTTTGTGTTTGTATAATATCCTTATACACAATCTTTCTTTGATACATTTCTACCATTGAAGTTACTACTACTATGAATTTGGTGTTCATTTCGTGATAATGAGGTGTGACAACTTGAACTGATGGATATATGTGCCTGGTCCTACGTTGTAGCTGACTGAACATTTAACTGGCGACCACTCAGAATTTATCTCAAGGTTCGATAAAGAAAAGGAAACTCGTTGAAATATTTTGTGCTGTGAATATATATACATTGTAGCGGTAGATAAATTCCCAAAATAAATAGTTCTGTAAGTTTTCGACATTGGATGCTGACCACATTAGTTTTAATGAACTCAACTAGCTGAAGGCACTCGGTCATGCATCCACACCAGATCACGAGTGGGAACGCCGTGCTCAACAACCCCTGCAATCGCTAGCCAGATTAGATCAGACGATCCTCGATATATTGATAACATATCAAATATATCTTCGAACCTCCTCGCTTCTGTCTTTTGATTTCACTTGGTGGGTACGATTTATATTAGAAGGTGTTACTGGTTAAAGTGTCGTCAAACTCCGAATCCCTGTGGCATCTTCAACATTGTACCAAAAATATAATATTGAATAAAGCCACTAATAATAATAATAATAATAATAATAATATTTTGCCAGTTTCAATCTAAATTATTCAAGCCTACATTTATCCTTTCAACTATTCCGAATTTCCACAGTTTGAGCTGTACAAAAGTATTTTTGTTGGTGTATTGTTTGAAGATGTTTATACTTTTAACCATTTAAGTTAAATCTGTAATTTATTCTCATTTTAAACAATTTCAGTTTGCTGTAAATCAGTATGAAATATAGAAATAAAATATCAAGAAGTAGTGTTCAAAGTAATCCATTTATAAATTAATTCCATGGCGTTATGATTTGAAACAGAATCAAATAAAGAAGATATTTTATTCTCCTTGATTTCCAATGGATAAATCTATGAGTCTATGAATCTATAAGTTCCCTTCTTTATATAATATTGATTGTCTCTGTTTTACGAAAGTTTACTGAAGGGACTTAATTACTTATTTACACCTGTTACCCTAATGGAAGTGCATAGACCACTCACCAGCATTCTCTATCTAACTCCGTCCTTGACAAACCTTTCCAGTTGCTTCCAATTACTATTCATTCTTTTCATATCTGCTTCCTATTTCCAACGCAATGTGTTCTTCAACCTGCCTCTTTACTGTTTCCTTTCAGGATTGAAGAAACTAATAGTAGGAATTTTCTACTGGTTTAACAATTTAACTAACATTGTTTTTTTAAAAGATCTATAACTCAAGTGAACATCTCATATATTATTCAGAAAGATAATCAAACTTTGATTGCTCCATTCTGCTCAAATAGTATAATGCTAACCATAGCATTCACCCGTGTTACAAATGTTTACTATCATACCAATTTAACTTTTGTTGGTAATGAACAGTTAAATAATTAAAAGATCTCTGTGGATTCACTCAATTTCTCTTTTGTGTATATTCTTTTGAGTATATTCTTTAAACAGAAATGAATATGGTGTTTATTATTTGACTTCATGAAACTCCGCTTGGAGTCCCTCCCGGGGCTACTACCTGTTCCAAGCCCGAATAAAGGAGGAGGGTTGGACATGGGGTTAGCGACCCCATCGCGTAGAAAACTAACTCGCTAAAAAACGCTAACCGGAAAAAAATTATTCAAACCTATTTGACTTCATATGCATATTATTTTGGAGAAGTTGTTTAGTTCTCACCTGATTTCTCATAAATGTAAATCGGAAGTTACAGATGTTATGTAATAATTAATGATTTATTGTTAACTACTTGATTTATGTCTTTTCTTATATGATTTGATCTAATCAAATAACAACTAATATTTATATTATGTAGAAAGCATTTAAAAAGCAACATGGAAGATCTGATGCAGACGTAACGGAAAGGATTGGAAAGGTAGGGACAACATTCCTACAATTGAAGAATATGTGGAACTCAAATCAACTGTCAGCCAGTATTAAGGTCAAAATCTTCAATATGAACATTAAGACAGTTCTACTGTACGGAGCTGAAACTTGAAGAACTATTATAACCATCACCTAAACACTGAAAGTATTTCTAAACAATTATCTACTCAAGATACTCAGAACCAGCTGTCAAAATACAATCAGAAACAACCTACTATGAGAGAGATAAACTAACTTCCATCTAAACAGGAAATTAAGGAAAGACGTTGGAAGTGGATAAAACACACATTGAGGAAATCATCAAATTACTTCATGAAGCAAGCGCTGACTTAAAATCCTGAAAGAAAACGTAAAAGAGCAAAAACCAAAGAACACATAATGTCTGGAATCGGAAGTAAACATAAAAAAAGATAAATAGTAACTGAAAAGACCTGGAAAATATTGTTATAACGAGTTGTAAATATCTTCATTTTTGATTACTCATTAGGTTGTAGCCGAGTATTGCTATATATGCTACATATTCAAATGAACAGATTGTGTCTCCTGAGTTTCAATAGTTATTGAATTATATTATTCATTTATTTATTTGAACACATAAATATTGGTTAAAAAAAAACAAATATATATGCGCCACACCATCATAATTGTGTGTGGGCTGTGATACTGCCCGGCTGCTCAGACTGAAGCAGGTGGTTTTCTTAGGGGTCACACCCCGAGCCTTCGACCTGAAGGTCTGATCCACAAGGCAGTGGAGCATCGTGAGGAGATGCAGTCCCATGGTAGCCGGTGACCAACAATTGATTCATACGCCATTTGTTCCCTCAGGATACTGGATCCCATGTGCACCATTGGGTTGGGATCCGGTTAAAGCGCCGGACATTCGTTTTTCGTCCTCTCATTTTCGTAAACAACAGTAATGCCACGAGAAGGCAGTGAGTAGGACTTCCTTGGCACAGGCTATATAAGCGTGGCTGTGTTTGAGTATTTCGAGAGGTAGGGCGGGCCCATTTCACTCTCGGCCATACCAGGGTATTTGGGGGCTATTTAAGTATAACTAATTGCCCAATTTAAACTTTTTTCTTATAAATTTCACAGATTGAAATCATGAGTCAGTTGAAGCTAGACCACCATTGAAAACCTGAAAGCACTGGACGGTCGTTTCATCCTAGTATGGGACTCCTCAGCCTTCTTTACAACCTCAAATCAATTAAGTAGTATGAAACGGTAAAGAAAAGAAATAATAATTGGAAAGGATTTATTAGTAAATGAAATCATAAAAACTACTTTTCCATTTAATGATTTCATACTGTAATGTATCATGTTAATGAGTAGTTTTATCCATATGATTGTTTAGTTTACTTTTGAGATTAGTTTCATTAACCAATATAGAAAAATATACTAATGGAATATTGAATATTAAAAATATTGTTTTAAACAAATCATATTCTTCAATGAAATTTCTTTCAAATAATGTTGATAATGATAATGATGAACATAAAATTACAATGAACATTTGCATTGATCCTAGAACATAATCTTCTATTTCTACTTCAACATCATGACCACCTTGAAGTGTTTGAGCTGTGATGATTGTGAACTACGTTGGGAAAAAAAACACAGAAAAAACAAGACAAAACAATGCTTCCAGGTTTTCCATGATGGTCTAGCTTCAAACGACTCTTGATCTTAACCATTGACATTACTATAATATTGCTATAACTGTGATGCTGCAGCAGATTAGAGGGTAGCGAATTATCGATCGGACCAAAAACGCTCAAACACGTAGAACAACCTAGGGTTCTGATTGGTCCCGCTTCCCTGTTTAGCCCAGCCAGTTGAGTCCAGAACACAAATCTCAGCCTCGGAGATATGAATCATTATATTTCAAACACACTCTGTTTATAAACTAATCAAGCAGACCACATCGTACGATAAAATAAAAAATAACTTTGTACAATATTAACCAGTAGGAAAATGACACGTGAAATAAGTACTGACCAATAAATAAATAATACCATCTCCAAATCCAAGAATAGCATTCGACTTAATAGAATAATTTCTGGGATATTTTCCTGAATATTGTAGTGAACGGAACACGGGTGGGGACAATCGGATGTACTTAACACAAAACTACAGGACTTGTTAGTAAAATCTAACAATCAAATAGTAAATACGTAATTTGCAAAATGTCCACCAGTTGTCTTAAAATGACTCAAACTTCATTGCTCTTACATTTTCATACAAATTGCATTCTGTTCCCATTTTTTACTTTTCGATCCCCTTATCTTTCTGCTGCCAGACCTTATGTTCACGACTAATATCATATACTACTTATATCAATATAAGTAGCATGCCCCATAGTATCTTCTCTCTGCAGTAACGTAGTCTAAAATGTTTAAATTTCATGACTTAGTCAATGAGCTCCCATTTTTACTCATAATACAATCATTCATCTGAACTACAAATCTTCTCCATTATATCAAAATACGTCTACTGTTTCACTTGGTATTGTACAAACAAGTGGCTATCAGGACTCAGTAATTAAGTGGATAAGACGATGGTTTTTGAAGCGAATGGTACTGGGTTCGAGTCCCAGAGTGAACATCAACCTTAGAATGCAGGTAATCCAACTGACAAGTCTCAAATAGGACGAAACGAGAGTCCTGGATTCCACTGCTAACCATTATCCATATTTGCTCATAATACATATACTATTGCTCAGATAAAATATATTGAAAATTCCCTCGCAAATTATTTGACACAGATAAAGAGCACTGACTTCTTTAGGTAAACACAACAATCGGCTACGCTCTGTTTTTTTTACATGACAAATAAATAAACAAACCCATTCACTACATCATAGCCCTTCCTACTTTTACTATAAACTGAACATTGTACTTTGATTAAAATTAAGTAGTATGATATCAGTGTAGAATTATTGAATCAGAAATTTTCAAGTTACAAAAAAGACATTAAAATGTTATAATTTCGTATACGTTTAAAAATTGATATATTCCTGGATACTGCTTATGAAAATGTGAACTGTGTTCTTTAAGAGCACACTTTTCAATCAATCTGTCTCCGACCTTATGCCTTTCTCTCTATAACTGTAGAACTTGAATACTGACAAGTATACTTACATATTTCATTGTACTTCATTTGACAAAGTGATTCTTTGTCATATAATGAATTGCATATAAAGAATATGTACAAAACTGAATATGATTTCATTTGATAATTACTTTCATAATGAAAACCTAACTACATGTAATGAATGTTAATACAAAATCGTCATCTTGATTATTGATCAAATTACTATTTCTAAGACATCGATTTAAAGGATTTAGATAACGTTAATCGGAAACTTATAGAAAACATATTGTCACTAAGATAAATGTTGGTAATTTGTAGGATGGTAGTCGCTGAAATTGTTTGAAAATCATTAACATGGATGAGCACTGCTGAGGAGTCCCACAATAGGACGAAATAGCCGTCCAGTGCTTCCAGGTTTTCTGTGTTGGTCTGACTTAAACTGACTGATGATCTTAACCATTGAAATTACTAAAATATCCACAAAACCCATCTGATATTAACATAAGAGTTTGATGGTGATTTCTGTTCATATAAGAGGTTTTTAAAACTAAACACTAACCATTATCCTACGATAAACCTTTGTGTTGCAACGATATCTAGACACGAGAAAATTGTTTCTTTCAAGAACATTTAATGAAATAAACATATCCTGCTCTTCAATCTCCAGTGCCAATAAAGTGCCACAAATCCGATTTCCCTGTGAGTAAACGCTTTTTAATGTTACATTACAAGAGACAACCGATACTGTGTGTCACGAGTTCTAGTCAAATAACAAACATTAGTTTCGTCTAAGTCACTGATATTTCATGATATCGAATAAGAGTGAGAACAAAATACAAATACAAAGATCCCTGTCTATTAATACTACTTAAAATCATAAGCATCACATTTCTTTTTCTAGTTTTACATGTGCGGTCGATTCGCGGATATACTTGAATTCTTGAAGACTATATGGAATGACGAGAGAACAAACTAGCTTCCAGTTGGTGAGGAAATTAGGAAAAGATTATGGAAATGGATAGGATATACATTACGCAAATCAGCAAACTGCATCACGAGGCAAGCCCCAACTTGGAATCGTCAAGAGAAGCGGAAAAGAGGAAGGCCAAAGAACACATTTTGTCGGGAAATAGAAGCAAATATGAAAAGGATGACTAACAACTGGAAAAAGCTGGAAAGGATTACCCAGAACAGGGTTTGATGAAGAATGCTGATGAGCGGCCTATGCTTCTCCACGAGGTGTAACTGGCGTAAGCAAGTAAGTAATATGGAATGACAACAATTTAAAGCCAGCAAATTCCTTTTGTATTGGTATGGGACATAGAAATGTGCAACCACAACTCTCTTCAGTCCATATTCAATTATTCACATATATAACCCCAATCATTTTGGCATCTCTAAGCTAAGAATATTACATAAATGAATAAACATTTTGAATCAATGAAAACTTACAAATTGAAAGTGTATAAAAGTGAATACCATGAACAATTTACTCGTTAGCTGTTATAATTAAAACAAAATAATAAAAAGTAAGAGTAATGAATTAAAAGTGAAGATGTTGTTTTCAAAAAGTGAACATTTCGGGGCGGTGGGTATTAGTATTTTATGAAATATTTCTAATTATTCTAGTGTTGTAAAACCAACGAACTAAATGACGATGATGATGATACTAATAAGCAGAGATGGATGGTGGCAAGTAGTGGAATCTAGGGCGCGCGTTTCATCGTATTTGAGACTCGTCAGCCGGATGTATCTGCATTCCAGAGTTGATGTTCACTCTGGGACTAGAATCCAGTACTGTTCTCTTCAAATGCCATTGTGTTATCCACTCAGCTACTAAGTCCAATTGCAGTCCTAAAAATCAATGGGAGGATTCAAACGAACTACACAAAATGAATTTAAACTTCACTACATTGCACAAACTGGTGGCTATCTGGACTCAGTAGCTACGTCGATGAAACGATGTTGATTGTAGCGAACGATATTAGGTTCAAGTCCTGACGCAAACATCAACTCTGAAATCCAAATACATCCAGCCGACGAATCCCAAATAGAACGAAATGCCCGTTCAAGATCACAATGATGGGATCCACTCAGAATGCACATATACTAGTTTGAGACCAATCTACTAAAGTCCTTAACATCAATGGGAATATTCAAACAACTAATACAAGATGATAATAGTAATAGGTGATTACTAAAAACCAATAACAAAGTTATCATTCAATTTCTTAGTGTCTTCATGATGCCTACACGTTCAATAAGAATAGAATGAATATTTCGTTTTATGAAAAATAGTTGAAGGTAAAAACTCTTAAACTATCATATCGCCCTAGACATTGCTCATCAGTAAAATGTACCGGGAAACTTCAGAGGATTAATACTGCTTGTGTAATTTAGTTTTACAGTACTTAGAATCAGTCAGAAGTACTACCATTGATCTACTTGAATCAAGATTGACCTGTTTTAGGGGTGACATTTTGTTGATAAAATTACTGGTTTACTTACCATTTCAAATCCAATGAAAGTAAATATTAAAGTAAAAATAGGTAAAACTATCAGTGCTACTATAAATACATAGAAATATTGATAGAAAAAGACTGTTATATCATAGGAATATTTTGTTGTAATGATGAATAGAATTGTTGATGTTAGCAAAACAATGATAAATGAAATAGCATCATCAACTGTAGCATTTTGATATGTAATAGTGACCACAATGGATGAATGGAAGATTGTCTAAAATGGTTTATTGTGATAAAAAAGAAAAAAAAAACAATGAAACGCATATAACTGCTTATATAATTACAATGTTTTGAATAAACTTATTGTCTGTATGGTAGCCAGCATTAGAAGACTGGTCATTTTTCTCATCTTATTTGAGATTCATTAGTTGAATGTACCTTAGGTGACTGTGATCCCACCAACAGAGCTTGAATAAAATGATCGTCACCTCAAATGCCAGTGTGTTGTCTAGTAGGCTACTGAGTCATAATAGCTGTTATTCATTTCGCGGGTATAATATATTACCTCCCTTGAACGCCATGACATGTCCAAGGGTTGCGAGAGTTTACTCTCACTTTCAAAATTCTCGCATAAGGTGAAAGGTTTATAGCCTTTACTAGGAAAGTCCTACCCATCATCTTCATGTGATGAAGATATATTACAATGTGAGCGAATGCATGGTGAGTGAACCGAGTCGGTGTATACATAGTTTTTCTACAGGATCTGGAAAACTATGATGTCATACCATTCTAAGACATGGGCCCCAGAATCCTGAAATAAAGAAGTGGCATACAAACTCATTTTAGTCACCGACTATCTACCAGCAGATTGTTTTTCCTGAATTCGCTTTACTGACTTGAGCTTCATCTGTTATTCTTATAATAATTAGGTGGTTTAATTGTTGGAAACTTACTTCACTAAATTTATTCTTGAATGATTGGATCTAATTGAATAAACGTTTATGTAAATGTTTGAACTCAGATAGCTATCACAAACGGATGTCAGTTTATATCTCTGGTTAATAAAAACTATAAAAGTGAATCATTTGATTTCAACCTAATGACACAAAGGTTAATTTCTCACTAAAAAACTTGAAGTTCCTAGTTTCAGTCTCTGAGGCTGTTGTAAGTTCACACATTTGAGCATTTATATACTATGGTAAAACAGCTTTTCAATGTTCACTGGCTTTTAATAGTATATCAGTTATTGTTAATCTGTGATGAAAATCATCTAACATTATATAAATTTGCTATTTTTAATTATAATTAGAGTAGAGAGTAACTAGAGTAACGGTTAGTCACATCTGAATTATTCATCCGAAATGTCTCATGGTAGGCGAGACTATAATTTATGGACGAACCGATCAGGAATAATATAATAGGTATCGGATTTGGGAGCGAAATTCACTCATCCATTTGGTTAAATAGTGTCTTGGCATTATAGCTGATGTCAATTCGTAATGATAACCCAAAATCTTATTCCTGACCTTTAATCATCAACTGTAAATCACAATTCTAATTCCTCATACTGGTTTATAACCCTCATTTGATCCTTGTTATTAGGTGAATACTCTCAAGGTCACTTTAGTGTCTCTCAAAGATCGTCCATAAATTATAGTCTTATCATACGGTAGAGAAAACACAAGGATAAATCACTTCGACAAATAAATAAATTATAAGATATACTTACAAAAATACTCAGAATAATTACATTAAGAGGGAAGAATCGTTCAATAGTTGGAACTTTTAAAAGAATCACTGCATTATAACCATTCAGTAAACTAAAATTAATAAGCAATGTTCAGATAATCAATTCTGACATTATACTGTATTTGATATATAAGTTATGAAATATAAAAGTTTTACACAACATTAAAACTCAACTGATCGTTTATTAGTAGTGGACATCAAATCTAACTTGTGTGAAAGAACAAATAACTGTCATTTCAATAGTTGAGATCATGATTCAATTGAAGTTAGATCATCATGGTAAACCTGAAAGCACTGGACAGCTGTTTTGTCCTATTATAAGACTCCTCAGCAGGGCTCATCCGCAACCCCACCTCGCGAGATTCGAACTCAGGACCTGCCGATCTCTCGCGCGAACGCTTAGCCCCTAGGCCCCTGAACCGACACGTTGAGAAGTCCCACAATATGGTGGTCTTGCTTGAATTGACTCATGATCTCAACTTGAGATTATTATAATATCCACAAAAGCCCCTTAATGATATTAAACAACTGTCAGTTACAAAACAACTGAAAACAAATATTAACATACAGTCATATCTACTAAATCGAGAGAGTACTGTTCAGAAAGGTACGCAGATAATAGGTCGGATGGTGCCAGACAGTTAGAATTTTGTCTTAACTTTACATGGAAGTGAGAGACGAAAGCATTGGAAGATTAAATCCACCAAGCTACTCATTTAGACATGTTTACTAACCACGTATTTTTTTATCTAGATCACTTTACCATTATATATATATGCATAAATAATGTCCATAACTATTCACTCTTTAATATAAAGTTTCTGTGCATTGTTTGTCTTCTCAGTTTTCATGACTGATTGTGTTAAGCATTAGCAAACTTATTTATTATAACTGAATCGGATTCGTATGTTCGAACATCCTGATATTTTATTCACATGTCCAGAGAGTTGAACCAAAAGTAACAAAATGGATTCAATTAGGGCATCATCATGAATGATCAATCATTTAGGAGAATTCGATCGATCCAATTCTACTAAATCAACAGTATTTAATAACAGACGTCAACAGCCAATAATATTCATCGTAATGAACACTGTAAATTTCCAGACAATAAGTCTCGTAAACTTATCATTCAGGAGTTTAAGTACTAAGTAGAGCTATCAAAGAATATACTGGTATATCATATCGATTGCTTGTATAAAGCACCACCAAAAAGTAGGAAGCTTTCAAGTTACTACGGTGAGCAGGTAGCTGACCCAAAAGTGAATATTGAGAGGGACGTTAATGAAGTTTCTAGCTAAATAATTACATTTTTTTCTCGTATAGACAAAACAAAAACAAAATACTGAGGAATTAGAAATATTGGTGATCATAGTTGATTGATCACTGGGTGGTGATCGATGTCATGTTTGTCTAGTTCTTACTAGTGCAGATCGAATGCTATCGATCATGTTGCAATGTGGCCACCAGTCTAGGTGACATGACACGGCTCGGATAGCTCAGTGGTAACGTCTCTGACTGTGAAGCTGGATGGCACGAGATTGAGTCTGCCAAGGAGCACCAGTTCCTTCAAGATTACAGGTACACCTTGCTGACGAGTGCCAAGTAGCACAAAACCCGGGTCCAGGGTTTCCTTTGACTACCTCCAACCACCATCTAAATATTGGTGATGCCCAGTTTTTCAAACACGACAATAACTCACAAACAATAATTTATGAACTGAAATAATACGGATTTCTAGTTATTATCATGAATAAATCATTAAATAAATTGATTACTGAGTAATAATTAATGTCACATTCTCTTGTCCTTAGCCTTGAACTAATCATATTGATCAATTTAGAATGTGATCGCCCTGCCTCCTCGCGATGGGGGGTGTTGTTTACGAAATCCAGAGGACAAAAAGCGGATGTCCATCGCTTTAACCGAGTTGGTCGATATGGAGGATCCACTTGGGGGGGGGTTGGAAAACATTGATTCTAAACCAATTTTGTACATGAGGATAAAAAGCGTATGAACCAATTATTGGTCACCGGCTACCATGAGATTGCATCTCCTAACGTTGCTCCACTGTCTTGTCGATCAGACTTTTAAGTCGAAGGCTCAGGTTGTGGCCCTAATAAAACCACCTGTTTCGGTTTGGTCACCCTGGTGATATCACAGCCCATATACGAATCAAGTGACTTGTGTGGTGCATATGTATTCGGTGCCCCTTCGTGTCAATATTTATGTGTTCAAATAAATAAATGAAATAAACATATTAGTCAGCATCTCGATGTGTTTTCATGTTGGCAATGAATAGAAGACCGTAGATAATAAATTTAGTGCTAGATGACACTCGATAGTAAAATCTATCTTCGATTTTGATGTTCCTAGTAAGAGTTAATTGTGGTAAATCACTGACCAGAAAAAAATTTCCTGAGATACTCAACATTTGATACCAACCTATTTGGTCTTATTGAATTTAACTAGTCAAAAGTACATGACTACCATGCACGACAAATGCTTATTTCTACACCATTGTCATTCACTGATCGTGTCTATGCATACATTTCCATTCGAACAAATTTACTTTACATTCAGACTAATAACATCGCTTTTATCAATAATTAACTTCATGTATTCAAATAATCAAGGTAAATTGTATTGAAAACTTAATATTCACTATTGTCAGATTCTGTTATATCACCCTCATCAAGGATTTGAATCATGATCAGATAGTCTATCAATAAGTAGAATTCTATTTCAAATATATAACTAAAATTAAACAAAAACAATCTAATCATTCATACCATAACAAATACATTGACCATATATGTTGTCCAATCCATTGATTTAATATTGGTCTAAAATAAATTGACAATTCAATAGATTCATTCTTTGTTAATTCAAATGAGACTTACATATAATCAAAGATGTAGAATACTAAATTCAATAGAAATACTTGAGAAAGAAATACAATAAGAACCTAGAAATAAATAAATAAATAGAAAGCCAGCAATATCCCTTTTGTTTTTCTTATCCAATCATGAATGGATCAATGTGATTACATTGGAAAAAAAAATATGTTACCTTGATATAAAAACGTTTCCGATCTGTTCCTTCATTGTGTATACCATCATGACTATTATTACTATGATTACTAGCGATACATATATAGTAATATAGAATGTATGTATTTACTGTTTGTTAAATTGCTTTTGTTTTGTTTGGTATTCTAAATTCATAAGCATTTTATCAATGAATACTTAAAAAGAAAAAGAAAACAATAGAAAACTGAAGCAGAATAGGCTTTATATATATATACATATAGAAATTAGCTGGATGATAAATTGAATTATAAATGACTATCATTGGGAAATAAATACACATATCATCGAATAGAATAGAATAACCTACTACCTTGCTGTGATTTTTCATTTCCCTTATTACATATATAACCTTTCAACTATACAATTTACATGATTGATTGATTGATTGATTACACCTGTTACTCCCAATGGAGCATAGGCCGCCGACCAGCATTATCCAACCCAATCTGTCCTGGGCCTTCTTTCCTAATTCCATCCAATTCTTGTTCACTTTTCTCATGTCTATCTCCTTTTCCCAGTGTAATGTGTTCTTTGGTCTTCCTCTTCTCCTTTGGCCTTGAGGGTTCCATGTGAAGGCTTGCCTTCTGATGCGATTGGGTGTTTCCCTCAATGTGTGTCCTATCCACTTCCAGCGATTCTTCCTGATTTCTTCCTCCGCTGGGATCTGCTTTGTTCTCTCCCACAGTAGGTTGTTGCTAATAGTGTCCGGCCAACGGATCTGAAGTATTTTGCGTAGACAACTGTTAATAAACACCTGCATTTTCTGGATGATGGCTTTCGTAGTTCTCAAAAGCTTACATAGATCCAACTTTTAGTCAGTAATTCAAATACTGTATTAAAAACATTACGCAAATCATCAAACTGCATCACGAAACAAGCCCTAAGTTGGAATCCTTAAGGGAAGTGGAAAAAGGAAGGCCAAAGAACACATTACGTCGGTACATAGAAGCAGATATGAAAAGAATGAGTAACAACTGGAAAGGGCTGGAAAGGATTGCCCAGGACAGGGTTGGATGGCAAGTACTGATGGGCGGCTTATGCTCCTCGACGAAGAGTAACTGGCGTAAGTAAGTAATCAACATTTTTTCTGTTCATAAATACGATGATACTGAAACATCACAGATCTAAATACCCCAACAACATATTCCGTAATTCATTTCCAAAATGTTGTTTACAATGTCTAGATGAATTATATCTAGCTTAAGTCACCGAAATGAATGACCAAAATTTGACTAAATAATAAGGTTTTAATTTGATTAGTGAATTTCCTATAACATCTAAATCTCACAATGAATTACGTTTGTAACCATGTTCATCTTTGTGCTCAACATCTATTATAAAAGTGTGTAAGTTTACTTTAGGAAATGACTTGTTTCTTCTGACCAATTATTCAATTGTTTAATATCCCTTCATTAGATAACTGTTGTTTTAATAGATACGAATTTCTTTTCTGACTATTCGTTACGCTTATATGGTATAGCAACTATCTCGCAACCGATTTCGATTATGGTTAATTTTGGTCAAAACGTATTATTAACTCACTTAACAGACAATATTATTAGAACAGTAACAATTCGTCTATTTATTTGTCTCGTTATGATCATTAGATCACATGACAAACTCGAGCTAAAATGTTGATCGGTTAAATATCACTCAAATCCCATTATTAATCTTTGCTTTGCCTTACTGTGTCCTTATGAAATTTAACCATCAATTTGATTCTGCATTTACTCGTACATACTTATTCGCCTCTCTGTTTCAAATAAGTTTGATGTGCTTATAAATTTCTGCTCTATGCTATCAACTAATAAACTGTAGTTGCTGCTTCTCATTACCTTCTGATTTCAAACAGCGTTAAGATTTACTATCATAACAGTTATCGAGGTGATTGATCAACAAAGCAAAACCACCACAATCGTTTCTACTAATCAATCTTAAACTGATTCAACATTTTTCATTTCTTTTTCATTTATGACAGTCATAAATCTATCATAATCTGAATGAAAAAGAGTTCAATTTGGAAAGTCTCTATTCATTACTGATCACTATAATAATACAAATAAATAGAATAAGACTTACTTAATACCTTTGTTTAGTTAATGTAAATAATGATCAAACTTTTATAAATGACACAATACAATTAAATTATGAATTAATAAATTAAAATCTATTAATCTATGTATATTAAAATGATTTCAATCTTTGAACTGTTATCATTTATTTTCATTTTAATTGTTTCTGATTGATAAGCCTTTTTCATTGATTCAATTCAATATTCGTTGAAGATTTCCAAAGTCCAAACATTGATTAATTAACACGTCTTTATCTAATTACGTGAAGATTTAATTTATACATCGTTTCATTTTGAACAGACTCAATTATTTAATGAGTATTATGCAATATAATGAATATTATAAGCAGTGGAACCAAGGACGCGCATTTCGTCCTATTCGAGACTCATCAGCTGGATGTACCTGCATCTCAGAGTTGATTTTCACTCTGAAACTCAAACCCAGTACCGTTTGCTTCAAAGGTCATCATGCCATCCACTTAGTTACTAAGTCCTGATAGCCATTTAATTGTGTAATGGCTTAAGTTTAAATTCACTTGGTATTCTTTATTTAAATCCTCTCATTGATGTTTAGGGCTGCAAGTGATCAGTGTCTGAATGGCAACTGTGCATATTATGCGTATTGCCAAAATAGGACGAAACACGCGTCAAACTAGATTCCACTGCTAACCATTATCCATTACGTATGAATGCGTGAATTAAGGCATTACGCACAGTATGAGCAGTTGATAATAAGAGACTGACCGATTGCAGTCCTAAACATCAATGGGAAGATTCAAGTAAACAATACCAATTGAATTTAATATAATAAATAGTTTTTTAGTGAATAAAAACACAAGTGGGGACAGTGAAATGTATTTTAGATACAAAATTACAAAACATCTTAGTAAAATCTGAGAACCACACGGTAAATTATTCATTTGCAAAATGTCTATCACTTGTCTCAAATTTGACTGTTCCTTTTTGCAAATATCAGTCAATCGTCTCGGACTTCATTGTTTTTTCGATCCCACAACAATCATTCTTTGTTTTCGTTCTCATTTCGTTGATCTTCTTAACCTTATGCCTCCAGGCATTTCACTTTTGATTGATGTTACATACTACTTATATCTGTCAAGATTAGTAGCACACCACAGTTTCATAGACAAAGTTTATAATTCACGAACTCATGATGTGGAAAGTGAACATATTTAAATTTAAAATTCCTATGAAAAAGATCATCAAATTTGAATACTTTATATAGAATTATTTCAGATGAAAAATCAGAAGTCAACCAGCGTTTAGTAGTTATTAAAACCTAATTTACAGTAGGTCAGCAATGAATGTTTCAAAAGAATCAACTGAATTCTCTAATTCATTTTGGCAAGACATAGAGTTACTAGAACGAAAATAATACATACACTGTATAAAAGATATAGTTTCTAACAAGGCAAAATGTTTTAAAACCTGGGAGACAAAAGATATCGAACTAATGAATGTGAATGATAGCATACGTACATCTTGAAAGAATTAGAGAACACCTCAACAATCCAATCAGAAATGTTTTATTTGCTGAAATCGCATCGAAATCACTAACCGATCAAAATCTGACAATAATTAAAATTGTGGAAACACTGAATAGCCGTTTCGCTCAAGTATGAGATAAATCACTAGTGAGCGCCTGCTACCCTGGAACCGGGAATCAAACCCAAAGCCTTCAGTCTCACTTACTATCATGGACTGATTAAAACTAGACGTGTACACCACTGGATTCGATCCCTGGTTGCAGGGTTGTGGACGTACAGAGCTACGTTGTTCCATACCCGGATGTCCGGTGCTTCCAGGGGTTTGATAGTTGTTTAACTTTGATCAATTTATGATTTCAATGTAATTCAATGATGTTCACAATCCCATACAAATTGAAATCTCTTCCAACTAAATATACTTTTAAATTATCCAAACCTTAAATATCTTTCCATTGGATTAACAACTTTATTATTTCAGTAACCACTATCAATCCAAACCCCCATAATTATTTACACTCAGCGATTCATAATAAATTTAATTACACCTAATCAATTTTTCAGTCATTTTACTGTCGTGTCAGCAAAGCTATTTATTCCAAGCAATCAAACAAAGGAGAGATGAATCTCAGATTACAATTTTTTAGCATAATAATGAAAGATTAATTCCCTGAAGAGCTGGACTTGTAAACTAAATTAAAGTAAGCATATTATCGACTACTTAAACAAAAATTAGGTATGGAGAAACCTTACGGACATATGTTTACCGTTGTACTATTTCCACAGGAGTGCAGAAAACCAAAAGTCATGTAATTTTATACACATAGTTCCCTTTATCATTTTGAAAAGAGCAAGAACAAAGATTCTAGCAGAATAACATGAATTCATTTTATTTCGTAGGTTCTCGTCAGCTGCTTACAACCTGTGATATTTAAAATTCATAATTACATGGTGGGTTTAAATTGCTAACTGAATATTGTAAATATATACCTAATGTGAGAGAATATTCTACAACATTAATTGTGACAACAGTTCAAAAGTGGGTTAGAAACAATCGATTACATAATGAATAACATTGAAGGAATGTAGTGAGTAGAGTTCAGTTGAAAGATTATTAATTCGAAAGATAGTTGAAAAAATAAAAAAAAGAGTCAATGATGTAATAAATGCAAAAAAAGGAAAAAAAATTTTTAAGGTGCAGTGAAGGAATATATTTGTCACCAGGGCAAGGAAAGAGTAACCACCGTCTCCTTTTGAATACATTGGTCAGGTTTTTGACGCCTGATGGCAATGGCTTCAGCAAACTTCAGAAGACTGGAGTTTGACTGCTTACTAATCACCCTAAATAATTGTAAGGCATCTACCTGATGTCCTGTATCAAGGAGATGTTTGTATCTGCCATAATTGGACCTAGTGGACTACCCATTGCTACGCCATCGACTTGGCGATATATGGTGTTGTTAAATTGGAATTGAACATCTGTTGTACATATAAGTAGTAGTTTTTTGAATTCTGGGGCTGGTAATTTTAAATTATAATAGTTGGATTCGTGAGTCGACCCAACTTAAACTACCATTGAAAGCCCAGAAGCAATGTACTGCCATTTCGTCCTAGTATGGGACTCCTCAGCAATGCATATTCACGAACTCTGAACTTTTGGTCTCGTGAGCGGTTCAGGGTTCAAGTCCCACGTGTGAGGTCATGAATGTGCACCGTTGAGGAGTCCCATACCTGGATGAAATGGCCGTCCAGTGCTTCCAGGCTTTCAATTGTGATCTAGTTTAGATCGACTCATGAATTCAACTATTAAAATTACTACCATCTTCACAAATCCCTATTCTAATAATTTTAGACTAACTAATTTGCCTACTTAAAGTAGTAATAAAGATTTATAAACATTATTCCGACACGTGGACACTTTTGATTAGTAACTCGACATTTATTACTGTTAATTATTTTTAGTGTCATTCTAAACTGATAAATTTCCTTTCTACTTTAGGTTGACCTATACTGGTACTAATGAATTGATAAGTAAATGAACTAAAATCAAAGTTTTTTTAAGCTCGCTAACAAACAGTTTTCATTTTCATTTTAGGTGTTGTGGAGATTGTTAAGTGTTTGGTTGAAATCATGAGTCAATTGAAGCTAGACCACCATGGAAAACCTGGAAGCACTGAACGGTCGTTCCGTCCTAGTATGCGACTCCTCATCAATACGCATCCACGATCCCTCACCCCGCGAGATTTGAATCCAGGACCTATCAGTCTCACGCCAAGCGCTTAACCAACTAGACGTTTCACACAACTAACTGACTACAGTCAGGCAGTTAATGAAAACAAAGACCAACTGAATATCTATTTCGTCCAAATGGAGGAATGCTGAATATCACATCATGTTGTAAAATACAGACTGTTAGTTTGATAATCAACAATTTGAATCTATTCAAACTTTCTTGCTAAATAACTATTTTGTTGCTTATCATATAAATTACTACTATCAACTAAATTATTTATCTGGTCATTTTAGCTGTTATCAACTACGTATTAGAGTTAAGCGAATAAACAAAGATCGGAAACTTTAAAAGATACTCATCAGGGATTCAGTAAATATCTTTATCATGTGTATTTGTGTTATGTCGCGACAAGAATAATGAATGGTAACTTTTGGGATCTATTGATGGACCAATACTAAAAGTATATTTCTATTGCATAATTATTAAGTAACTAAACTATGCATATTCATATTCCTCTTATTATAAGCTTTATTTTGACCCATAAATTATTATTATACGTTTTACCATTCTTGAGTTATACCCAACATATTAATTACTACCTCCCTCATTCACAGCCACATCTGGCTAATTCTTGTACAAATGTTATTTCATATTTCATTGGTACTTTGTGGTCTGTTTGATTGGTATGTTATCTCAGTATGGTTGAAATATAATGATTCATATTGCAGAGACTGAGATTGGCGTTCTGAACTTAACTGGCTGGGCTAGGCAGAAAGCAGGGCTAATCAGGACTCTAGACTGCTCATATGGGTTTCGCGCCATTGTTCCGATCGATAATTCACTGCCCTCTAATCGGCGGTCACAATTTATAACACTTTGTGAAACAGTCGGCTTATGGTATGTTTTTTTTAAATATTATCTTAATTGTAAACTTTTGTTTGATTTATTAACTGTTGCCAAAACTTTTATTTTCTATATATTTTGGCAAATTACTCATAAAGCTGCAATTCAGGCTTGTAACACAAATGTCTTAATTGTGTGCATTTTGATATTTATTACCGATAGTTTTTATAATAGTCCTGAAATTTGTCTGTACGATCATGTGAAATTTTAAGTTCGAATGAAATTGAATAATAAGAGTTAACTGGTGGACTTTTTCAGTATTCTAATTCTCAGATTAATAAAAAGTAAGAATTTGGCACAAACTATTGATCGTTGGTACTTATACAGCCACAGTATTAATGGACATAGTTATAGTGGATGTAACAAAGTCATAACAATAATTGCCTAATGAATTGGATCAATATTAATTATACACATTAATTATATTTTCATAACTTCAAATAGCATCATTTTTGTATAATGAAGCAGTAAGAAGTGATTCACTACTCCCTTTTAAAAAAGAAAGCTAACAATCTGTCATCTATTAGTAACATTCTTAAGTCACTACTTGGTGATTAGCTTGTGTAAATATCATAGTTAATCAGGAGATCTCTTGTAACACGAATACGTCAATGGTAACCTAAAACTGTGAAGCTGTATGAGGTGTTTGAATCACATGAGAAGCAATAGTTCCCACAATTTGCAGGTAGGCTAACAGACCCGCTAACAAGTACGAACTGGTACGAGATTTAGATCGGACAAGGTTACCTACTGATTGTCTCTAACTATCTACCGTCAAAACGCAATTCGGATGATATCAACTCAGCAATGCTAATCATTACATTGTATTGTTCAGTGCGATATAAAGTATACATGGGTTATTCAAGCTTTTGGATAGATCAGTTTGTTCATTATTCTTGAGTCACATTTCGACCTTGCCGATTATTCGTTTAATAATTTTGAGTATTTTGGCATGAGCGCATGTGTTTGTATTGCTTATCCTATTCATCACATGTCTGCAGCTTAGTTTTATCTGGTTATAAATATTAAGTTACGCTTTAAGTAACTAAGTTGGCTCACCTGCCTTCTCTACCTCGCTTCATTTTCTACTTTTGCGACGGTGATCTCCGCTTTGCATCACTTTACCATGTAAATGTATGTGCTTGAATCTTAATAATTGATTCGGCTCTCCATCGGCCTGCGTATTCACTCTCTCACTCACTTTTCTGAACGAATTCGCTTAGCGTGCTTGTGGCATAGTTATCTGTATTATTCAATAGTAAACTGTGGTTAGCGCTTCGTATTGCCTCCTGAATTTATGCGCTGATGGGACTTACTTAATAATGGTTATCAGGGCGATCGATATGCGAAGCCTAAGGGATTGTCTTGAAGCTAACCTACTACAACATTACAAATCTATCGGTAGAACTTGATCATCACTATAGACTAGACAAATACCATATTAGTCACTACTGAATAATCAATCAATGTAGAAGTATACTTAATTAGATTATCTGAAATAGTTTTAGTTAAAGTAACGTATAGTACAACACAATTAATAATGTAATAAGGTGACCAAATAGAAAGTCGAACACTCGGTTATGTCGAACAATCTTCAGTAAAAGGTTTATTGATACTGGTTAACATCTGAAACGGAAATAGTCATAATGAGTTTCAAACTTTCAACATGATGACGGAAAGTTAATTACTTCAACAATTATGTACGTAAACTCCACCTGTAGCTCTTCTAGAGTTACTGCCGATCCAACGCCCGGGTAAAGGAGGAAGGTGGGGCATGGGGTTGGCAACCCCATGCCGTACAAAACTAACTCGCTAAACAAACCAGCTTCTAGGTGAAGAAAAAATTAGGAAAAGACGATGGAAATGGATAGAACATACATTACGCAAATCGTCAAACTACATCACGAGGCAATCCCTAACTTGGAATCCTAAATGGAAGCGGAAAAGAGGAAGGCAAAAGATCACATTACGTTGGGAAATAGAAGCAGATATGAAAAAGATGAATGATTAACTGGAAGGAGCTGGAAAGAATTGCCTAGGACAGTGTTGGATGGAGAATGCTGGTGAGCGGCCTATGCTCCTTCACGAGGAGTAACAGGTATAAGTAAGTAAGTAAGGGATTTACCATGTTTGATTTCTTATTTAATGTAACACAATAAACGATTAGATCTAAATATGGTGCCTGTAACTGAAGTGTTCAACGTTCAACCTCTGATTCATTTGTTCAATTCACCTCCATGAAGTTGATATAACGATAGAGTAAAATTATTTTCTATTTGCAACGTTAAATTACTGTAATACAATAATACAACTGATGATCAAGATGATATCACCATTAGACTTGATAATCAGTCAATAAGCTATAACCATGTTATACCGGATACAAGAATGATGTGAAAAGAGAAATAACAAAGCAATGACAAACAACTAAAGTTACTTTTTCGCACATTGTCTAGCTTTAGTAATAATCTCTAGTGTACTAACACTTAATTTTAATCTTATTTTATCCAATAAATCACAAACTTTAGTTTAATGTGTAGATTGATGTTATATTCTTTTCTATCTTAAATTTATTGTAATTTTAAAGTGACCTTTAGATTCCACTTTTCTACTCTAATGTTCTACTTTAGACAATGATTGTATTTTTCTCAATTCTTGTGCGTTATGATCCTGCTAACTATACTTTATTCATATGACTTTTTGAGTTAATTTGGAATCGAGAATCAATCGGATAATAGTTTCAAGTAAGTCATTTTCTCTCTGTTAGCTTACTAACCTAAATTGTTGAATAGTTTTTATCTCTTTAACATCAAAGTTATTCACTCATTAATCCAACTCATGAGCTTTAAATCTTAAGATTATACTAAGTAATTTATCACATTGTAGATCTTTCATAAGTTCTGATGGAGCTCTTTAACGCTTCAATTGATTGGAACGCTACGAGATAAAATGTATTCAAGAATACGTTTCCCGTTTCTGTGACAACGTGAGAAACGACAGAATTTGTACTTTTTATGTTACTATCCTCCATAATTTGAAGAAAATGTACTCTGTCGACAAGTACTGACATTTTATAACAATTTTAAGACATAAATGATCAATTATAACAAATTTAAAACAAGCCATTTAAATGAACGAAACGGAATGAAAAATATTGGAAAATGGGATGAAAAAAATTAACTAAAAAGTTACAAAGATGGCCGGTCGTTTAATGATATTCATCACCATTAAAACCCCAAACCAAATTGAGACAATTACCCCTGTCTATATTGAACAAAAACTAGTGGTCAAATGGTTAGGTACTGGGTTCGAATCTCGCGGGGGGCGGGATCGTGGATGAACATTGCTGAGGAGTCCAATTCTGGGACGAAACGACCGTTCAGTGCTTCCTGTTATATCCGAGCGAAGATTAAATCACGAGTAACTTCTGAGACATATTGATTGACTAATATTATCTATACATTCTTATGGTATAATTAGATTATGTACATTTATATCCCTCTTATTATACTCTTTATTTTGGCATATATTTTATTATTGTACGATTTACGGTTCTTAAGCTATGTTCAGTTTATTAACTACTGCCTCCCACGTTCTCAGTCACTTTTTGGCTTTATTGTGTACAAACGTTATTTCCTATTTTACGGTGCGTTTCGATCTGTTTGGTTGATATATAAACTCAGTATGTCTGAAATAAATTATTCGATTCGCATAGTGGAAGCTGGTATTGTTGTTCTGGACTCAAGTGGACGGGCTAGGCAGACATAGGACCAATAAGGACGCTAGGCTGCTCATACCGGTCGAACGTCATTGGTATGGCACAGTGCTAAGATTGTATAAGTCGTATTATGATTGGTGGATAAATCATGTGATAAGAAGCCGGACATAAAGTCATAACACTGCCAGTTTTTCCATGGTGGTCTGGCTTTATTTGACACATAATTTCAACTATTGAAAAACTAGCGGGTTAATAAATCATAGGTAGTAACAATAATTCATAACCAAATATAAAGAATCAGATTAAGGTGAGATAATATTTTATTCAACATCATTACAAGCAGATGACATTTAATCAGTTCAGAAATTAAAAATCAATAATAATAGGAAAGAAGAAAAAAAACCATTCATTACATAATCAGTAATTTGTTGTTTTTATCAATTTAGGCTTAGTGATTAAAAACAAAATTTACTTATACTACTCTTATCCCATTTTATACACCAATAGAGGAAAATAAAAAAAAATAAATAAAAAATAAATATAAATTAAAATCATTAAGTGGAACAGACCACCACCACCACCAACAACAACAACAACAACTAGAAATGCATAGCAAGTAAGAAAGTTTGTGTATTATATGTAAACAATTGAAAAATGCAATCACAACAAAAACAAACAAAAAAATTTTATTTCAAAATGTGCACATTATAAAACAAAAAGAAAGTATTGAATAATGAACTAATAATAAATTAACTTTATTAGCATAATTCAATGAGAGACGCTAAAGTGACCTTGAAAATATTCACCTAATAACAAGGATCAAGTGAAGGTTATAAATTAATATGAGGAATTAGAATTGTGATTTACAGTTGATGATTAAAGGTTAGGAATTAGATTTTGGGTTATCATTACGAATTGACATCAGCGATATCAGCCAAGATACTATTTAGCCAAATGGATAAGTGAATTTCGCTCCAAAATCCGATACCTGTTATATTATTTCTGATTTGTTCGTCCATTAAATTATAGTCTCACCCATAATTCTCATGTGTAATATACAATTCAAAGTAATTTTATGAAATGAAATGCATTCATATACACCTATTTCAATCTTTTAAAAAAAGGCTTGTCCAACTTTGTTATTCAATGCATTAGTTATTATATTGGAAAAATGAGCAGTTGATTTATACATAAATAAAGAAATATGAATAACAATGAAGACGACCTGAAAATTTTGAACAAATGAAAAACAAACAAAATTGATTAGTTTCTTATGTGTTTTCTTTGTTAATAGAATTTGTTCAAAGAAAGATTTTACTATACCGAGGGTATTCGCACAACAACAACAACAACAACAAAAAGAAACGGCCAACTCTATAATTCAGCTCAGGTTAGTGTAGTTAGTTATGTAATAAGAACTATATTTGCTTGAAGATTATTGATAATCTTAGGTCAATCAAATAGAATTAGGTGGTGTGTGGCTTTCGAACTATCACCACCATAGTTATTACCTGATATATTATTCTACCATTGAAATGTCATAGATATATGCATGTAATTAGATTTTTTGTTTACAAATTTTACATTCAAACATTTATGTAGCTTTTGATGGATTGGCTTTGAAAATAGTTTCCATCAAAATCAGGACGACTTAAAGAGACACTTTACACTACCCAATCATTTTATAATCTTTATCAATCTCCAAACTATTGTGACAGTTTTCGAATGAGTAGGAGACTTAATTTATAAAAATTCAGGCTAGTAGATTGTAATTTATTTAATTAGCTGAAGAGATATGTTTTAAGGTTAGTTTCTAAAAGTGATAAGTGCAAACGTTCCATGAGTCTTTAGGTAAAGTTAAATAGTTGTTGCGTAACAAGACGTTTATAATGACTATTAAAAAAAGTGGGAAAAACTCATTGTTATCGTGAATCAGTGGTTGACCTTACAATCAAAATATCGTTTAATTATGTATTCAAAAAATGTGTACTTGGTGAATGATTTGCGCTACTATCAAAAGCAGAGATGGATGGTGACTAACAATAGAATCCAGGACGCTTATTTCGTCCTATTTTTGCGATTCGTCGGCTGGATGTACCTTCATTTCAAAGTTGATGTTCACTCCGCGAAATGAACTCATTACCGTTCGCCCCAAACACTATAGCGTTATCCACTTATCGACTACGAACATCAACTCTGGAATGCAGACACATTTATGTGATGAGTCCTGAAAATAGAACGAAACACGTGTCCTGTATTTCCCTGTTAGCCACCATCCATCTTTGCTTTTAATGCTTGTGACTGAAGTCGATATTGAAGCAATCCGAACAGAATGGACATATGCTAATAAGAGACCGATCAACTTCAGTCTTAGACATCAATTGGAAGATCCAAACAACCAATATAAAAATGAATAAGTCATATTAGTTAAAAAAATATACTGAATCATTAAATCGAAAAATTGATATTTAACGTTTATGTTAGTTATCTAAGCATATTTACTGGTAAGTTTAAAGTTATAACTTTGTACATTTGGCTTTTCTTAACCAACATTAAATATATGCTAACAGCTCAAGTAAATGGATGTTTCGTGAAACTTCAGCTATGATTAATAACCATAAATACTCCAATGCATTTAACGTGACTACGTATTCTTGCAAATTATTTATTCGGAAGAACATTACTATTATCATTATTATGATTAATTTAGCAAATAAAGTTAGTTAGTGACTAGAAGTGAAATCTAGCACAAGCGTTGCATTCTATCTGAAACTTGTCAGTTGGATTTATCTGTAATCGTGATAATGTTCCCACTGGTACTCAAATCCTGTACATTTCGATTCAAATGGCTAACTCATTAACCAATTAGCCAGTGATTTCAGAGAATTAATAGCTTGTGGGAAGAAACGATACGAGATTTCCACATTCCACTACTAATCATTATTCAAATCTGGATAAAAAAGCTTGTAGTTCAATGGCAATATTAAATTAATTCACTCAGGACATACATATACCAAAATAGACTGATCGATAGAAATGTTTAATATCATTGGAAAGATTCAATCAACCCCCCTATAAATAAAATAGCAAGTTTTACTTAGGTCGCTCTAATGAAAATATCTATTGATATGAAATTTTTTATGGTAAACTCTTTGAACTGTAAACTTTATTAACAGTCCAACCAATATGAGTTGGAATACATATTCCAGAAAATATAAATCCGTATTATTTCAACAGGTTTCATATAAACAAAAGTGTTTTTTAATGTAATACAACTTATGTATGTAATAAATATTTGAATGAGCTTACATTACATACTTACTTACTTACGCCTGTTACTCCTAATGGAGCATAGGTCGCCGACCAGCATTATCCAACCCACTCTGTCCTGGGCCTTCTTTCCTAATTCCATCCATTTCTATTTCATCTTTCTCATGTCTATCTCCATTTTCCGGTGTAATGTGTTCTTTGGTCTTCCTCTTTTCTTTTGGCCTTAAGGATTTCATGTGAGGGCTTACCTTCTGATGCGATTGGGTGTTTTCCTCAATGTGTGCCCTATCCACTTCCAGCGATTCTTCCTGATTTCTTCCTCCGCTGGGATCTGCTTTGTTCTCTCCCACAGTAGGTTGTTGCTAATAGTGTCCGGCCAACGGATCTGAAGTATTTTGCGTAGACAACTGTTAATAAACACCTGTATTTTCTGGATGATGGCTTTTGTAGTTCTCGAAAGCTTACATAGATCCAACTTTTAGTCAGTAATTCAAATACTGTATTAAAAACATTACGCAAATCATCAAACTGCATCATGAAGCAAGCACTAAGTTGGAATCCTTAAGGGAAGTGGAAAAAGGAAGGCCAAAGAACACATTACGTCGGTACATAGAAGCAGATATGAAAAGAATGAGTAACAACTGGAAAGGGCTGGAAAGGATTGCCCAGGACAGGGTTGGATGGCAAGTGCTGGTGGGCGGCTTATGCTCCTTGACGAAGAGTAACTGGCGTAAGTAAGTAAGTAATTAACAACATTTTAAAAATAGCTTACAAGCTAAATTTTAATCCATAAAAGATTAAAATCATCTATGTTAAGACTACTCAAATCAAATAAGGTAGTGAACAGGTAAGGGTAATTTGTTGCTCAAGCAAATGAATTTGATGAAGTTTCATTATCTGATTTGGATGATTTAGTCAACGTAAATCAATGACTCTGTCTAGAAAGGTAGTGGAAATTTCACGACTAAAACATGCAGCTGACGAAATGAACATTCAAAAGCAGGCAATAAGGTTTTTAAGTGTATCGCATATATTTGAGAATATCCCGTTTGTTTTTTCGATTAGTATATAACTCTATGATATATTTTGATTATATTCATGAAACAATATTTTCCCGTTTAACAAAATAATGAAACGTCACTTAAGTATATTTTGAAGCATACTTTTTTACGTGGACTTTCTTACGAACTTTTTTGGTAATAAACGTGATACTCTAAAACATCTTATTAAATAAAAAAAGTTTTCTTAAAAATATAGACCAAACGTCATAAACATCTTTTGAAGTTTTGGCTCTTCATCATACCTTGATATGAATATATAATTTTACATTTCAAAAATACAAATCAAATTGTAGTAATTAGCTTAACTTTAGGATATGGTTGCTCAGTATCATGAACTGGTTAAAGTCGGTCAGGTGTATCAAAGACTGCCAGCTTGATAGTCTACTGGTTTAGCATTTGTGCGCGAGAGTTAATGTCCTAAGTTTGACCCCCTTTAGTGGAGGTCGCCGATGCACAATACTATGCAGTCTCACGACAGGACGAAACAGCTTTCTAACCCCTCCTAGAATTTAATAATGTTCTAAGATCAATTCACAGTTTAATCTATCAAATAACAATAATAATAATAGGAGATAAAGGCGAAAAGGAAGGGTTAACATGTTGATCAATAAGGTTGATTAAATGAGAATGAAAATCGAGAATATGTATATGCTTTTTGGACACGCAACTTGTTAATTATTTGAAATAACTGCATAACAATAAAGATAACAAATTAAAAGGCAAATTTTAGATTAATCGGATGATCATAGTACAGAGAGAGTAGCTGCACAACCGTTTTCTGAGTGTGTATTGAATTTATTAAAGTAGATCTTTCTTCTTTAAAGCTATGTTTAAGCCTCTGTTTTTGATGTCAAGGAAGAAATAATTCAGTCTGTTACATCCTCAAACTTTCATAAGTGATAGGGATGAACTCCAATGTCAGTTGTTCTAATTAAGTGCTCTAATTTGTCTCATGAAACAAAATTAGCATAACTCAATGTTTTAAACGCTTTTTTGTGCAATAAAACCTCGGAATAAGATACCTATCAAACTTACCCTTGATGAATATAAATGGTACATTTATGCAATGACTGATCTAAAAACGATTTTAGATCGGCAGAACCTTCCACACAAACCTCTAACCATGCAAAGAATAAGTCATTAAGCAAACTCTTTCTGAGTATTGTTAGTGCTCTGTCAAATATTTAACACGTTTATTTTCTTATGGACAGCGGTTTTACAGTCAATTCTAACGTTAATTTTATTGGTTTAGAGAGATGCTTGCTGATTAGAGAGTTTTCCAAATTCTATTTTCCTACTTTTTTGTCGTAAATTGAGTAAAAAGTGGTTGGCAAGTGCAATAGGTAAACGTTTTATATCAGTTTAATTTAGATAGCCTAACTCTTTAAATATGACAAGACGTAAAGTTACATCAATTCTGTTTCACAACACCACCCAATAAATAAGCAGTAACGTTATGATAAATTATATTCTTTAGCTTACCCTCTGAAACGTTGAACCGTGAATTTGATGCCAATTTTCCATCCTTAACTCACGTCAACTTACTGGTATCTCATGTTATAATGTTTGCTTGACTCAGGTTTTTGAGATGGTTTAACTGGACAGTTCACGTATATACCATCGGATTTCACGGCTCTATGACTTGGTATACTTGTGATGAAAGTTTTGGTCTTTGATGAACCATAATGTGTGGTATGTTTATAATCACAATAAGGTACGTTCAAAACCTGAAGTCTAAAGGGATAGATGGTTTAAGAATTTGATAAAGAAGTTTGGAGTGTATTGTAAAAAAACATCTAAAAATTAAACTATTAAATCTAACTTTGGATGAGATCTTACGACCATTAATAAAACCGAATAAATAAATACATATTTGCGCATCGGTGGTTGAAACACGGGCTACTAAGATGTAACTGCGATGGTCTTCAAAGCAAAATAATCTCAAAAGTGAATACAAATCAATGCTCATACGTTTTTACGTATTTAGGTGGTATAAGGTGTTTGTCGTTACTTATATTCAAGACTATATTGTCTTTTAATTACATTATTCATCCGAGATCAATATCTTCATTTTTTCTAAACAACAGTTTTGTCTTAGCACTCATGTTTATAACTGGGTTTGTTTAAATTCCGTTAGTACTGTAGCTCAGTTTGATTTTGAGATAACCATATAAAATATGAAATGTAACTGTTTTGCCAGTATTTACACTTAAATACATACTGAGCACCGCCTTTAAAACACGTTATGACTTTAAAAATGCCTATACCGCTATCAGCTATAAAAGGCCCTTTAAGTGGTGTAATATGTACTTTTCTTTCATTTCTCATCGATAAGATGATGGCAATGACTTAATATAACTTGATTTTTAATCCAGTCTTCATATCATTTTAGTAACTAAATACCGATGTCTAACAAAACATAAGATGCTTACATTAAACTAAAATGTTATTGAGACTTAAGATCCCAGTTCATAACTCTGAATCATCTTTATCTATATCCATGCAAAATTTTGTTTCTCTTTAAAGTCAGGTGAAGCAGCTAGCTATATTTTGCCTATGTGTTCAGCTCTATGTCACATAAATGGTATACACGAAAACTCGGATCCCAAGGTATATGTGAATCTTTATAATGGAAGTGCTTATTGATATCAGGAAGGATAAAATCAATCTTCTGCATAAAAACAGACCCTTATGTTTGTTGTCAGAGCTTGACTCAAATCTTTATGAAATCGCTAACCTCTACATTACGAAATCAAGAGTGAAAACATCTATCGACGCAATTTGCAATACTGAGTTTACATTCGTCGAAAACATATCTCGCACACTTCAGTAATCAATAGATAAATTTACATAAAAGTGCATCTTATATTCAGTAACAGGTTTAAAATATTTACCCTCTTTTTACGCAAAAAATAAACTAAAAGTAAATGTATTATTTAGAAGCTTTGATCTAGTATATATGTGATTCCTGATTTTTCCTGTTAGATAAATACTAAATATAATTGTCTGGTTTATCATTCATTCAATTTAACACAACCACTAATTATGCATAAGCAAAAGAATCTGAGTAACAGTCGTACTGAATCAGTGATACATCGCTTTTTTGTCACGTCAAATCTTATTTTCTCTAGGTTTTTACTATCAAGTTGCTCTGAATGATGCATTTTACACAGTGACATCTACTTACAATTAGACTTCATTCACAGATAAAAATAATCCTGCATTCACTCAACAGTCAACTTTTTTCTCCCAAATTCCGGCGATAAAGAAATTTGTAAGGCAATTTAGGTAAACTGGTGAAATCGAACTTACCAACATATTCTATTTGGAGATGTAAACATCAATAACATTTCAACAACGTGCATTTAAGTTTCAGTTCGATAAGAACAAAAAGATATAAAATCCAGATGTGTGTCACTTAAAAGAAAGTTCAGGTTATATTGTGAACGAAAAAATTATAAGGGTCAGGTATCTCTGACAAGCACATGTCAAAAAGCTAACTTGTACTTTTTTAATGCTATCAACTGTTTCTATCATACAAACTTCAAAATATTCTTTAAAACGATAAAATACAATTATATCAAACAACATATTGACTCACCTTTCATTGGTCAGCGAACTAAACACCTCACTTCCAACTTTCTGGACAAAGACATCAGTCCGTGATTGTATAGGATGAGAGTATATGTCCATTTGGGATCCTCCAATACTGACTGCATGACCTGGAGGTTTAGGGCAACTCACAACAGAGTTTGTTTTGCCCGTTCCTATATTACTACACCAGTGAGTGTTGTAAACAATAGCATCTGGACCATTAATTATTTTTGCAAGCATCTCTTTTTTGATGCGCTCAACGAGTCTGCGTTTAGAGTAATGAATATAAATGCAATATCCGGTGCTGCACAAAGTCAAAATAACGCCTAGCCCAATAGGTGCTAAAATATACACATAATCCATCTAACGTCGAAAAAGTCGACAATGTGCTTGGGTTACGAAATACGAGGTATTTACACTATCTGACAGAACAAAAATGACAGTGCATTAAAAGATCTAAATTGCTCATTATTAATATCATTGTCACGAGCATGCGTAAACCAACTGATTTTTTGGGTTTGCTTCCTGTTGTTTTAGTACAGTTTCAGGTATTCGATAATTTTCAGTCGGAGGTAATTTAACAGGGTTAAAATCATTATGTATGATGTTGTTAATAGATTCTGTTTTCTTTCTATTGCAGGGCAACCAAGAGTAAATGCTTTGGAACAAGAGCAAGCTCTGCATGCACTGGACCTACAGGATTACTCATAAGACTGTTTTGTGAACTAACTCTCCCTTCCATACATGACCCGCGAATTTTAATTTTCAAAATAAACGACTGGTGGCTTCATTCAGTGTTCTCTCTCTCTTGGTGTGAAAAGCTCGGTTAAAATTGTGTGTTGTGGTTTTAGGTCTTCCCCGCCTGTCATTGACTGCTGATCACACGTGTTACAGTAGTTTAGCCAGTCAACTGCATTAATTGTAGTCACTTTAGTAACTATTTGCTGATTTATATGTCTCATAGTTTTAGGGAGTGTGTTTTCTCTGGATATTAGGGTTCCTGGGTACCAATAGCTAACACATTACTAAGCAAAAGTTTTGATGGTTGCAATGTGAAAATAATAAAGTGATAATTCGAATGCTAAGAGAAGACGATTGTCTCAAGAATAAAAAATAAGTCAGTGGTTGGTATTGTGTGATAAGATAGAGTTGAAAGTTTAAGAGGGGATGATAATCAAAGACATAGGAAGTACCTACTAATATCTTCAATAATAACCGCAGTAATTTCTGAGACTCACATTAGACATAGCTGGTTTAAGAAGGACACGGTAATCTATCGGTGCGTATGTGTTTGTCAAGTCTCCCGCTAAGGGTATTCACAGATGGGGTTGAGGTAACTTCGTCTGAGAGAGTATTCCAGATGGGAACAACTCATAGCAAAAAAAGTGAGACCATAGCATGGTGTAAGCTGGATACAGCAAGCCGCTTATGGAACTACTTCGTGGATGCTGCATCCTGCTTGTTAGGAAGTGGTGTGAAAATCTCCATCTAGTAGTAATTGGTCAAACCTCATACCTTTGGGTGTTAGATCCTATGTGGTCCCCTACATTCCTTCCGTCAAGTACTTTGTGTCGTTCACACTGAAGCAACATCACCATGATTCAGTCACCTTGATTGATTCGGCACTGTTTGGTGATACGACTTTGGAGTGACTGTTAGTGTTTACTCGCACTCTATCTGTTTTTTGTATTCTACTGCATCTAAAAAGTGTCATGCCTTGCATCTCACTTCTTCATTCATAATGTCGGACGATAGCCTAGTATTATTTAGGTCTCTGATCTTTTGGTTTAACTGAAAATGCATCCTTCTGATTTCTCCACTTTTATCTCATTGTCCTCTTAGAGGCGTCTGAATATGAAGTTGGTTTTTTCTGATATATGGTGATCTTTCGGTTTATCACGTACCTAAATAGGCTTTTCAATACTTTATTCACTAGTTTCACTGCTAAAGGAGCCCTTCCAATGATCCATTTTGCACCAATAGTGCAAGAATGTTGGTAATTGATTCTGGAGCTTTGTAAGTCTATACATATCTCGGTACTATATTGAACCACAGATAACCTGTGTAATTGTGACCGATAATCCTAGTTGACACTCCCTTCCTGCCACTTTGCCCTCTAAAGTGAGCGGTCACTTGAAATCTGAGTCATCAAGTCTGTATAATAGTAACGAAATTGTCTTATTCCTCCTGCAGGTTGGATAAGAACACTAGCTACCATTAATGCGGAATACACGTTAATGAAACCAGTAAGTGGTCAGCATACTTCCACCCATCTGCAGCCAGATCACTTCCAAACTAAGGTGTTACTAAATTCGGTCTTGGAGTAACATTGAGCAGTCTTTGTTTCCTTGGACAGTCACTCTATAAAGTTAAGTGTTCTCACTCTAACGATTCAGGGAGTTCCATATTGGTTCGTTGAGCCTCTGTATAAGGAAACCAAACGTTCATAAATGTATCCATCCTCAATATGTTTCACCCAATTTATGGTTCGGATTGATCTGACCTGACTTGGGTAAACGTTCAGCATACTAAAAGAATCCACAGATACATTCCCTTGTATTTGTGAGGCCTTTTATTTTGCCGTCATTTATATCGGACGATGTTTGTTTACTAGCTCTCCACTTTAGTGGACCGAGTTCTCTCTCCAAGTTGATTGTATGAATGATTGTTGTTGAAATATATATGTCGCCTATCCTCTTACATTTCGTTTGATTACGGCTCCTTATGGTTTAGTTGGATGTCACGAACTTAAGGTATTAATACTGATTTATCATGCAAAATACCTCGTTAAATCGTGTTACGAACGCTGAATTGGTTTCACTTCCTACCCAGTAACTAGACAATTCGCTAATATACGAAGCCTACTCAAGATCCTATGATACCTAAAAAATAGCAATAATAATAATACAAAAAAATGAAAAGGGCTCCAATAGCCTCGATAAATAAAGGAAGATAGCCAATTGTATATCACAATATTGTTTTTAGCACTACATTTTATAATCACACATAATCCCATACTCTCATCTCGTTTCTGAATCGCCTCCATTTGTCAGTTGTATGTTCACTCATACCTTGTCAACACTTATTTTCTTCAACTTATTAAAATGCTCTTGCTTAACAAATACCTTAATAAAAGAAAATTAGAATGAGTAATCATACCTTAACCATTTCTTCATGAATATTGGCTACTCTGTCTTTCGTCCTTTCTTTTACTTGCTCCCTCTTTCAGCCCCCTTGTGATACGGTACGAAAGATTTCATCCTGCACCATCTTCAAAGCCTTAGACATTCCAAAGGGACATAAGGTTGCGACATTTAGAAGCTCCCACCTTCAACGGACCTATCCTTGACCATCAGTTGCACATTCGCAACGCAACTTTCATGAAGCACGCCAACTGTGATACTGACTAAAACCATCTACATTCATATCTTATAAACTATCAACCCAGCTGAGTAATTTACTACAATGGATGTTGTATCATTTGTAACAATTTGATCTTGCCTGTTAACTGGCAGGCCTCATGCAACAAACTGTTATTTGAGAATAAATTATTATTATTATAAAATCATCGACTTTAATAGCGTTAGTCAGTAACGGATTTAGATAAGTTAAATAACAAGAATGAACTTGTGAATACATATTTTTTTGTATATGAAGCGAATGGAATAGAGCGAAGCAAAACGAAGCGCATTGGAGATGGCTGGTAAGCCAACTCCCATTTGGTCAAGCACTAATCGATATTTATAGACACACAAAAATAAGTTACAGACATGTAATGAGTAATGGGATGAGAAATATACACACATATATACGCTCATATAAAAACAGTCAAGGTTGATAAGCGAATAATTAACAAGGTCAGAATGTGACTCAAGTAGAATGAATAGAATGGGCTGTCCAACAGCTAGAATAAGGCATATGAACTTAACATAACAACAGACACTACATATTCTCAATCTTTGTTACCCTAGGTAACACTGAAGTCACTAGAAAAGTTACTGGTCATAGTTGAATCTTGATGCAACAAGGCTTGTACTTCTCCAAAGGTATCAGGAAAGGTGAAAGAAGATTGGTATCTGTCATACAATTAGGTAGAAATCTAAGATACGTTTCCTCAGTCAAAGTATGACTAATTGTCAGTTAGCTAGCTAAGATGAGGCCTGATCGTAACTTTCATTTTGGCATTTTAAGGGAGCAACTCAGAGTTACAATTAGAATGTCATCAAATGACACTTCATTCAAAATGGTCTATTGAATGCCTTTGGAATTCACTGTTGATCTCTATTCCACTCATTGCGTATCTATCAATGAAAAAGTCACGATTCAAAATCGTTTAAGCTAATTCTTCGTGTGCGTCCAAGCGTGATGATTAACAGTGAAACTCGGCTTGCCAGCCGTAGAATTATGATCTACTTCGTTGTCATAACGTAACTGCCTAACCTATAAGACCTAAAGTGGAAGTCACATCATTGTCTGTATTGACTCATCGTATCGTGACAATCACCAATATATGATGTACGACACATTCAGGCTGGATATAGAACAATATATTTAAGGTGAATGGAAGTGATATTACACAAGAATGACCGCGCTTACAAGGGTGAGCCGTTCCATCTGATGAATTGAATTTCGAATGAATGTGCAACCGCGTCCACTATTATTGAACATCATTTAGTGTTAAAAGTCTAATTTCCCAGTTCAGCTTTGGAGATTGTGATTAGGATCCAATGCAACTACAATCCACATATCCAACTATGGTTGTAACGACTGAGATGCCAATATTCGGTTTCAACCCATAACTATAGAACCAGAGCTTGAGCTCTGGTTATTATTTGATAAGACGAGACTAAATTCTTCTGTAAAGTGTACAAAACATTTTTGACTGACTCCCATTAATTTATATCAAAACACAAACTCTGTGTGTTGGTTTAAACCGTTCCAATTTAAGAAAGAGAATAATTTATATCAAAGGTACAAATACCTCAAACGGCACAGTCTGTGCTATGCAGTCAAGGGTTTGTCTAGCACGAGCTAGACGACAAAAAGATAAGTCAAAAAAACAGTCTGATACCTGAGAACCAATAAAAATATCCTCAACACACTGGGGTGAGATATTTATCTACGAGGACTCCAGCAAGCTTTCCGAGCAAATAGTAACAGGTTAACAGTCATACACCGAACCACGCCGTGACCTTGAGTTTGGCCAAACACAAGCTTATTGTTAACAGTCCGGTAACATGCCACAGCAAATTAAGTAATAAATGAAACATCTTTAACCAGGGTCAAATAACAAATGCTTAGAAAATGAAGACTGAAGAACATAATGTGTGGTTAAAAAGAGACCGGGATAAGGGACAAAATACAAAACAAAGAGAAGAAATAAACAAATGACAATAATAATAATATATTTCTGCATGTGCAGGTACACACCGTTTTTACAGGCATGATCTATAAATTACAACATTTGTTGGTTCAC